CCTACCTTTGTTTTACTCAGCCTGAGAACACAGCTCCTCTTGTCCAAGAGCATCACCTCACGGGGGGTGACAGCATTCCCTGCAGGGACGGCTGCTGCGCTGCGCCCTGGGACCTGTCCAACATCCACCGAATGCAAAACTCCCATCCACATCAATCAACCCAAGATTAAAAAGGGTTTTATAAAACCTGCACTACCTCAGGGATGAATGATAAAATACAACCCTTCTCAACATTTACATTTTAAAGAAATCCAGTTTTCCACGTCCCATAAATCCCAGCACTGTGTGGTTATGGAACACACCAGGCACGGCCCCAGCTCTGGGAACCCTCGTGGTCCCACTCTTCTCATGTGGATCTCACTAGGAAAAGGCACACATTTTGTTTTTAATACAGTGTTGAATCACCTCCCTTCCCCTCATCCTTAAGAAAACCTTTTATAAATGTTCTCAGATTAAAAATAAATGCTAATATTCTCACTGAGGTTTGAACACAGCTTCTGCATTCTCCTACCTCCGGAGTTTGCGCTTCTCATTTCACACGTGTCCATAACGACAGGGACCAAACCATGACAACAAAGGGGATCTGCAGAACTTCACAGCTCTCCTCTTTGGCGTGTCCTATTAAATACTCATGGTTTACCTTCCCTGCGTTTCTCTGCAGCAGACAAATTTTAAATGTGAGGATCTAACCGTGTTGCCATTTGCCGTGGTTGTTGGCTCCAAAGGGTCTGCTTGGTGGGAAGAACATCTTCCATGGCACCAATGTGGCACTGAGGGATGTGCCCATGGGTGGTGGGTTGGGGATCTGAGTGCTCCTTCCCAACCTTAACAGTTCAGTGATTCTCAGCAGCACGTTCTCAGTGTGCGACCCTGACCATCTCATGTGCCACACTTCAGCTTTTTCCTCTTCTTTCATCAGAGAAAAACAATACTATGTGATGAGCTTTACGGACACGCAGAAAAGCCAAACTGTACAACAAAAGATACTGGGTGCTGCAAAGGAATCCCCTTGAACTCCCTGCAGAGCTTCCGCACATTAACAAGAAGGAAACCTGGCGCCTTTGTTTGTTCCGATCATTCGATTTTAAAAGGGAAGTAAAAAAGGTGACCTCAAGATCTCTAACAACTTCACAACACGTGCGCATCCTGATAGGAACTAATTAGCTGTGATTCAAACCAGTTTCTGAGCTCCTCAAAGCAAGCTGGAGAACAATTCCAAGTGCTCGAAGGCAGCCGTGTTTCAGGGTTGCTGCCGACCCCATCCACACAAGGCTGCTTCTGAGCCTGTACCACAGCCAGGCGCAGGGAACGCAGCAGAGCAGCTGCTCTCCCATTTGTGTGCAGAACATCTCCTCTGAAGGACACCAGGTGAGATGAAGAGCTAAAGCCCTGCTGTAGTGCATTAGTGATAAACTGGGGGAATTTGAGGCTCCTACGCCGCCTGCTTGCCTCAACCCCAAGCAAGAAGGCAGGTCCTGTACTAAGTTCAGGGGGGGGGAGGAGGGGGGAGAAGCCCAGGAAATCGATTAAGGTGCTAAACTCACTGCTAAAACCTGCACTGAAGGCAGCTCGAGGCTGATCTGTCACCCTGTTGCATGTATTTGAAGTAAACCTACAGCACACCTCTGTAATAAGGCCACACAGGCAGAGGGCAATAGGAATGTGCAAAGCTTATGCTCAGCAGCCACTGAACCTCACAGCTCTTGTCCCAGTGAGAGCCACCTCACAGCTTGGGGCAAGGAGAGATGGGATCCCTGCAGAGCCCAGGGGCAGAACAAGGGGTCCTGGCACTGCGGATGAGGCCTCAGCAGGCAGCACAGCTCCTTGGGGGGGTTCTTTTTTTTTGCTCATCTTTGCAGCTCACAAATCTGGGTGCAGCAGAACTGGCAGCTTCAAGACGAAGGTCCTCCACAAACGCCGTTTCCATCGATTCTCCACCAGTGCTCTCAAGACTCCGCGCTGCCTGAAAGCGCAGTGCCTAAGACATGAATGCAGAATCATTACCCGATGCAGAGCTCGAAGGCTTGGAGATAAATATCCTGCTATTTAAGCTGCACTTTTACCTTGAAAAGCAATTTGCAAGCCCGCAGAGCAGCACTGACAAGCCTCACGGAGCCGCGTGCAGCGAGGCTGCGGTGCCATGCTCTCTCCCTGGGACTCAGGGCACATCAATCTCCTCTCCCTTCATCATCACCAGAGCTTAAGACAGATTCGAGGAAGGTGGAGACACCAAAGAGAACAGGCAAAGCATCACAAGCAATTCTTTCCCTGTGAGTTTGGATTTGGCTTTGAATTATGGGGAATCACAGAATCATGAAGGATAGAGAAGCCCTCTCAGATCCCCAAATCCAACCCCAGCCCACCCCACTGTGCTCACTGCCATAGCCCTCAGTGCCACATCTGCCCTCTTTTCTCCAAAACCTGTGCTCAGAGCTCCCCGTTTTCCCTTCTTACATTTTCATGTGGATTGCTGTTGGTGGTGCACGGCTCCCAATTAACCTGGGCGCTAATTTAAAAAAAAACACCAAACATCAACGTGCTTGTTTCCAAGGAGACATTACAAACTTCATAAGGAGGTAACAAATATACAAGAGAGGGAAGAGAACTAAAAGGCTTTGGTTTGAAAATTAAAGTTGTTTGCCACGGCTTGATGGCTTAATCAGTCGATCAATATTGTTCACAGGGCAGGCAGGGAGGGAGCCACGAGCTGTGATGAAAAATGCATGAGGGGACAAGGGAGACCTGGGAGTAGAAAATTAAAAAGTCAGCCTGTTACATTTGTCCAATATTGGCAGAGAAATTAAAGTGGTTTGGGGAGGGGTGCTAGGAGGGAAGAGGGGAGCTGCGATACGCAGCGCATATGTGCCGAGGGTTCCCTTCCTGGGAGAAACTTTCACATTAATTAAGTTGCTTTCTTAGAGAAAAGATGGATTTTGTAACCTTTAGCACCTGCGAGCTCCACGAGAACAGTAGGAGGGGTTTGCATATGGAAAAATAAGAAGGGATTTCTGCCCATCAGGGGTGTGATGGGAGAGCAGTGACTGGGGAGCGATGCTGCGCCAACACGGCGAGGCCAGGCCTTCTTCTGCAGCACTGGGTGAGATTCATGTACCTTTGTGTGATAAAATGCAGCTCCGTGGCATCCGTATCCCGAGCAGTAAAGCAGCAGCACTGTTCAGCACATAGACTTTTCCTTCTGCTAGGGACTGGGCAGCGAGGGCTGCCTGGCAGGCAGAGGCAGTAGGACAAGTGCAGGTCCAGGAGATGCTCCAGAAGCATGAGGCAGCTGCTCCCTGGGGATCGTGGTCCTTACTGCTGGCCTTGAGGATCTGAGTGGTTCCAAAAGCTGCAACAGACTCTGATGACAAACAAAACATCAGGCTGCTCGTCCTGTTCAACTCCACTCCCTTAAGTGGAAATATTGCAAGCTGCTACACTTAAAAAGACTGCAGGGATCGGAAGCAGCGCCTCTCTCAGGGCCTGTGGGAGCAGACCCCTTCCCACTGCAGCTCCTTAGGACAGAAATGCGACATGCAGTTCATGTTACACTTCCCAGCACAATTATTTCTGCACTTGTGTAACTACAGTGGATTTTATGGCACTCCATTAGGCTTGCCAATTACAGGTTTAAGTTTTCAGGCTCAATTAACACACGAACTGGCTGATGTTGTTTTCTGCGACTAATTATCTCCAAGTGCCAGTACACGATTCCATATACAATACTTCTGCGAACTTTGGGATTTGCTTTCTACACCATTATTTAAGTATAAACAAAACTGAGCAGACAGCAGTGCCTAAAGCAGACTGGATACCATATTATGACCTTTTTGTTATTAAAAAAAAAATGCTTACTCCATCGGAAACCCAGGCCTTCCAATTAGTGCAGTAATGGGACGGATAGCAGGGCTGCTTATTTACAAGGCTCTCTCATCTAAGATGCACACACTGCTCTGTCTTGGGTGATCTCTGTACCACGAAGGCTGCTTGGGTCAAATAAGAGCCAGGTAGTCGAGCTGCAGGGGGATGGGACACAGCATTACCTCCCTATTATGGCAATCCTTCTGTTTGCTGATGGGGGGAAAAGGAGTTAAAAAGAAAGAGTCAAACCACCAACCTCCTCAAGCAAATACGTATTCATCCTTAATACACAACGCCATGCCCCCAAAGGAGGTCAGACACACCAAATTTTCTTTCAACCACCTCTCACCTCTGTAAGAGCCAGTCTTGCTTCTGTACAGTTAGTCCTAGAAAGCTGGAATTCCCAATCCCACACTGCCCTCGCAACAAGCCGCTGTTGTTGGAAGCTCAGTCTTTTACACCAACACAGCACCATCACGTTTCTGTTCCCATCTCTGCTAACTGCACTGTTTCACAACTGCTGTTGGTTCAAGTTGAATTCAATGAGTGCTGTAAGATAACAGCTGATTTCAGGTGTGTCCCCTCCTGCCTGCTCCCCCCCCTCCCTTCCATGCACTGTGGTTAACTGCACTAAACATTCCTTGCTGACAACCAGAGCAAACCTTGCCACCACCAAAGCCTCTGATCTTTACATCACCAAAAGCTCTTCAGGCAAGCAGAAGGGACCTCAGAAGCTGCACTGAAGGGCTGAACTATTTTCCTGCTTTCAGTTCCAGAACAGGACAAACGAGTTACACTGAGTCACTGCTCAGATGCGTTTCCTAACCGCTCGATACGTGCAAATTTTGGTAACATTTTTCATGACGATTTTAGTAAAGGAAAACATCTGTTCCCCCCTGCTTCTGAAAGTGCCTTGCATCTTCCAAGCTGCTGCATGCCTTTGAAACTCCTCGTCTAATCAACACCATCATCTCTTCCAGAAAAAGACCAGCACAGATAAGCAGCCTCACAACAGAACTCTATCATATCAGCATACACATGTTTAAATGCTTCCAGTTTTTCTAAAGAAAAGAGCAGCTATGAAAAACTCCCACCGATCCCAAGGATTTTTGCTGGTTAAATAATGAAAGAAATAGCACAACTTCTGAAATACAAAATTTATTTTGAGCTTATATAAAAAAAAATCTTTAACACAGCGAATTCTGTTGCAAAACACCAACCATACAGGGGCACTTCCATTAAATTTGGGGCGAAGATCATTACCATCAGATCTCCCCAGATGGATCATTCCAGTTGAGAAGCACCAAGGAGTCACAAGGTGCTCCTCACCACCTCCAAAACCCATCAGTCTCACACATACCTTGCAGAGTGAGGAACTCTGAAACAGCAAACTGCATTAGTGCAACCTCACTGCTTAGTGCAGAACGGATGGGTCAGAAGCAGAGCCAGCAGTGAAGCCAGCAGTGAAGCCAGCAGCTCTCCTCGCAGCCCAGCGCTGCTCACTCCACACACATCACCTGCTGGGCTGTGCTGCTACTGCCTGCAAGTGTCATGGAAAGCTTCAAGTGTCCGGAAATCCCTCCAGGTGGGCGGCAGGCCATCCTGCAGAAACTTTCCGCAGCGCTGGCACGGAGCCTGGAACAGCTTTATGTAACTTCTTAACCAGGTCTAAGAGAGAAAGGGAGAGACATTAAGAAACGTGGATCTGGACATTCCCTTATGTCATCATTCTTGTCAAGCAGTGATCCCAAGGACAGGGGATGTACTTTGGCGAGGCCCCAGAGGTACACAGTGCTTTTATAAACAGAATGTGCAGAAGATCGGAAGGTCATACATAGCTGAATTCCCACTTTATTAAGAATATTCTGCTTTTTCAGTCACTTAAGCCAATTTGTTAATGGCAATTCACGCACTCTGAGCAGGAGGTTTTTGCAGCAGGAGAATCTCTGCAGAAGGCAAATGTTCCAATGCTCCTCGTATTTCTCCTGGAATTTAGTTGTTCCTGATGGGTGCCTTCTTCAGTTGAATATCAGTGCATCTCTTCCTATGAACATCCATCTCTCAGCCCCACTGCACACACACTGCAACACTCTGGACTTTTAGTAGCTGAAGATATAAGCACTTTCACAGCAAAATGACTTCCTCCCTAATGTGATTTTAAGATCAATACTCACTGGTCATAAAAATAGTGGGAGATTTTAAATCTGATTACAATGATATATATCTATAATCAGGGATGTATTTATAAATACAAAGGCAAGTGCTGAACTACAAGCAGTAAGAACAGGTGCTCTAGGTGCAGTTCTTGCCTCACAAGCGCTTCCTCCCATCGTCATACATTGAATTGAGCATTGCATAACTCAATTCCAAACTCAAGGATATACACAGCTGAAAAATACCCAGAGCAGCAGATTTATGCTGCGAGGGCCACGCATGAATCTTGTCATTTAAAGTCCTATTGAATTACATCGATAAGAGAAAATTGTTCTCTGAAGAAGAGGTCAGAGGAGTTTATTGAAACAAATCCTTCCATCTTCATCAGAGCTTTCTCTACAGCAACCAAACCTTTGGCCATCAATAGCTCTCCTCCAAAGAACCCCTCCACGGGCTTAGCACTAAGTGCAGGGACAAGGGCAGCAGAACACTACAAGTAAATTGCTGTTATTTACTTCAGCTCAGATGGACCCCGCTTGCACAACAGAGAAATCGAATTTTCTGAACCATAACACAAAAACAGTAAATAAGTTAAATTGGGCACTTGAGACATCTGTGGAAAGGGAACAGAACAAGTTCTCTGCTGCCATCAGAAAGCTGGGCCTCCTGTGCACCCTGTCATGTGGATTGCACAAGTGACATGTGAAGGGACGAACGCACTGACACTTGTGTTGTACATCTCTTTTTGCTTCGTTCACATTTTTAGCAGCCTTCTGTCCAATCGATACGGCAGGCCCACGGCTCACACAGGCGTGCTCCCCACTTCTATTAAACATTCATTTTCAGACAGGTGTTGAGACATGGATTGGACCTGGAAGAGCTGCCTTCACCCTTTGAAAGCCATGCTCACGTGCACAGCTCTCCTCTTAGCGGCCTTTTTATTGAATAAACAAAGAAACAAGCACAGCAGGTAAGCGAGTCTGACCTGAAATTACATATTGGAAAAGAAAGACATAAAAGAACCAATGCTATCTAACACACCCACAGATTGCCAGTGGCAAAATTAGGTGGTGGATTCTACAAAGTCTGAATTACATTGCTCCGAGTGAAGGGGTAATGTAATAGATGAACTAAAAAGCCTGAAGAGCAGAGAAAATCCCTCCCCAAAATCTCCTTTGGGAGATTGCAGCAGGAGAACAGCAACCACGTTCACTGCCAAAATTCATCTTCGTGGAAGGTGTTCTGAATCATAAACCCTTGTGACTACCAGGGCTGCTTGCATCCAAATGTATTTCACAAAGAAAATACTAAATTCGAGCAGAATTAAAGGTGATAAACTTAAATCTACATGAAGTTAGAGCAGTATTTTATCAATTGTATTCAATAACAGTGGGATATCCCAGCAAGCATTTCCTCTGCCCTGAAATCACCTGCTGCTGCACTGATCATCCACCCACAGCCCATCAGGATCCAGGTTTGGGCCAAAAGGACCAAGGATTCTTCCTGATGACATTCCTGCCTCCAAAGCTCTTCACTCACATCAGTGACCCTCATTCCCTGCTGTGCTGGGCACACTGATGAGCAAGCTGGAATACACTCACAGCTAATTTCACTGGAGCTTACTTTATGTCCAGAAAGCAACTCTGCACAGTGAGCACAGTGTGAATGGGCTGGACAGTAACAAAGAGCGTGGGGCAGCTTTTTCCTGCTGTCTTTAGAAATGACCCAGACTAGCTTTGCAAACTGGCATCACCAAGCAAATATTGTGGCTCCTGATAGAGCACCTCTGCACAGCACAGCCCTCAAACATCAGCTATCCCACAGTACTGAGACAGATTTTTCATCCTTACTCAGATACGATACAAACAATTACAGTTGATCTCTGCTGTCTAGCTTGGTTAAACAGGTGAAGTTACAACTGCATCACAACTGCCTCGTGCCATTTGCTGTCAGCATGCTCAAATCTGTCTGGAGGTAGTAAGTTATCTTCAAATTTACTTACCATGAAAGATCTGACTACCACGTCAGGCATCTGAGGCAGCTGGTAGTGCAGCAGGGCAGTGGTTGCGTGATCCGTCACCTGTGCCAGACAGAAGGAGAACATTCTCTCATTCATTCCACACCTCAGACATCTTTCTTCGAAGAAAAAGAAAATAAATTCCACAGGAAAGTGGCAAACCAAAGGCCGCGTCACTGCTAAGACGCTCTCAAAGAAGTTTTGGGTAGCTTTTCCCAGCTGCCTTCCATTCCCACTGTCAGCCTTCATACAACAATCAGCTACAGCAATCATGAAGACTGACTTCCTATGCACAGAGTGAGATCAACACATCTTAGCAAATTCAAACTCGTGGCAGAAGCTAATAATGTAAAATAATGTAAATGGTGGCCAGTGTGAGCAAAGTGATGCAGGAAGGCGGCCAGCTCAATGCTACGTGGAACAACACCAGAAGGACCCAGCCCTGCAAGGCATCTGAAGGACAGAAGGGGCCAAAGAGACTGCTTCCATCACTGTTAAAAGGATGGAAATTTCTCAAAAATAAAATACAGTAAAAAGCATTACACTAAAATAAAAGCCTACGTATCAAGCAATTCATCTAACTTGCAATGCCTGCAGCAGAAGAGCAGAGCCTATGCCTCTGTGATTGAAATCCCACACATTCTGTGAAATCATAAAGAAGCAAAGTTACTGAACAAACCACGCCAGAGGAAAACACTCTGATTTTCTCTTTAGATGTCCCCATTTTGACTCTGGTCATTTTTAAACAGAAAATGTGCTCCTTTAACATGTGTTGATCCCTTCAAGGAAAAAAAAAATGTAGCTAAATTAGAGATTCCTGGCAGAGGCCAAGAGTGTATAAAAAAAAAGGAGAGAGAAAAAAAAAAAAAAAAAGAAAAAAAAGGAAATAAAAAACCCCAAAGCTTTGATTGTGGTCTGTTTTATTGAGGAGAAAGAAAATACAAAATACTCTGATTCAAAACTACATTTTACTGGAAGATGAGGATACTCTTCTCCAATTTTTTCTGATGTGAATACTTCATACATTTAAATTGTATGGATTTATTTCAGGTTGCTTACGTTGAACAAATAGGAATCGAGCTCTCATTTCCTCAGAAAACAGGAATCAATTAATATGATTATGGTTTATAACTACGTGCATTAGTAAAAGGTTCCTGATAGAAAGCTTTTTAATCTACCAGACAGAGCCAGAACAAGATCCTCCATCTGGGAATTAGAGCGAGATAGAATACAAAGGACACGTAGAGCTGAAATAGCAAGGATAATTTCAAATAACAGGAGAAGGAAGCAATGGCTCAGTAGGGCTGCACTCCTCAACAGCTCCGTCACAGCCTTCGGGCAGAACTTCTCAGCCCAAATCTTTGGGCTGTGCTATTAAAGGCCTCAGACAACAAACCCAGCAGCACTCCTGCATTCTATCACTTGTAGTTCTATTTATGGGCCTCATCAGGAATTATCGAGAAGATGAAGCGTTCTTCTCAAGTGCTACCTATATATTTCCCAGGGCCTGGCCCGAAAGCACAATAAATTACGAGTAAGAAAGCGTGAATCGACATTACAAGTGCTATTCCCAACTAACTCCATTTGTTCCTAATTGGCATTTAGTCTAATTCAGCAAAGCGAATCGCAATGAAGCGCTCTGAATTTCACTGCAGGCAGAGGGGCGGCTCAGGGCTGTGAGTCTGCAAAAGATGCGCTCACAAAAATGCTCCCAAGGCTCCATCTGCAGCGCTGCGTCCAGCCTGGGGCCCCCAGCACAGGAAGGACGTGGAGCTCTTGGAGAGGGTGCAGAGGAGGCACTGAGATGAGCAGAGGGCTGGAGCTGCTCTGCTGTGAGGAGAGGTTGAGGGAACTGGGATTGTTTAGTTTGGAGAAGAGAAGGCTGCAAGGAGACCTCATGGTGGCCTTCCAGTGCTTGAAGGGAGCGTAGAAACAGGAGGGGAACGGCTGTGTGTGAGGGTGGATGGTGATGGGACAAGGAGGAATGGTTTTAAATTGAGACAGAGGAGGTTTAGGTTGGATATCAGGAGGAAGCTTTTCCCCTAGAGGGCGGCAGTGAGGCAGTGGCACAGGTTGCCCAAGGAGGCTGTGGATGCCCCATCCCTGCAGGCATTCAAGGCCAGGCTGGATGTGGCTCTGGGCAGCCTGGGCTGCTGGTTGGCGACCTGCACACAGCAGGGGGTTGGAACTGGATGATCTTTGAGATCCTTTTCAACCCAGGCCATTCTATGATTCTACGGTATGATTTTATGACCCTGACCCATGTAAGCTATTTATATGCTTCCATCCAATGCATTAAAAAACCAACAGGATTAACCATGCATCAGCAGCACGGTGTAACTCAAGTCAGCCACGGCGCTCAAACAACTCACGCGGCGTTTGGAAATGACTGCAGCCCAAATCCCGCCAGCTACACGAGCTTCTCCTTTTAAGATGGTGCTTTTACAGGATAGCACCAGACACGTCAAAGAATAGAAAGTTCTGAAGATATTTATGAGCAGCCGCTCTCCTTCTGCTGCGTTGCTACTTCTAACAAACAGTATTTTTTCCCCGAACAACAAAGTTGTTTTCTCTTGGCACCGAAGACGTAGAAAGTTGCTTAAAAATACTCTTATGAACAAATTTAAATTGACTGGCCACTTTGGTGAAGTTGCACATATGCTGTTCCCATTGTAATGTAAAGCTAATGAGATTCCGCAGGGAGATGAAAGCCACCCCAGCATTGCTAGAACACTAATCACATCTTCTGAACAAAAAGGAGGCGATTTCTACCATAAGCAAGTGCTTGTACAGTGCTTCTGCACCGGATCAAAGTGGGTGTCAAGCCTGAGGAAGAGGATATGGGAATGAGCCCCTCGGATCAAACCAACAAACATGATGTCAAACAGAAAAAGGGGGGAGGAGGACATGCTGGGCAGCACACAGGACAGAAGGGAGACTCAACGCTGCCGAGACAAGAGATGCTGACAGAAAACATAAATTGCCCCAGATTTCTGTTTTTAATAATAAAAATAAATCAAAAATCAATGCTGAGCTTTTACTAATGGCAGTGTGATTTCACACCGCAGCAAAGCAAAGCAAAACAAACTGAATAGGTGCCAGAGCATCCAAGGGACGCGCTTCTTGTTCCAGCCAAGCTGGAATCACAAATGAATTTATTTCAGCTGCAGGATGACATTTTGTGCATTTCAGGACTTCTCCTTTATTAACTTCACTTTCATTGCTATATCTCCCCCACTATCTTGGTTATCTGTCACTTTCTAATTTCTCTGCCTCTTTTTATACAGGAACATGCTCACAACAGCACACATTGATTAGGATAGCTGTTGCTCTGAACCCTGAAATAGATTTTCAAGTGATCTTGGAGAAGAGCTCAATATCTCACAATTCATACATTGAAAAGCATCTGGCGTCTTTGCCAAAGGAAAAAAAAAAAAAAAGCAATCTCCTGAAGCCACAATTTTGCTAAATAGACCAGCTATTGTTTAACTAAGCGTGTTCCCACTCTGAGACAGAGGAAAAAACACTTCAGGGACAAGAAAAAAAATCTAGCAAAGAGATGGCCTCAGGCTTCTCCTTTTAAACAACCCTAAGCTGTCCTGGGCTGCATGGAATTCTGCTTTGCTGAGGTCCAGTCTTGTTTTCAATGTGAATAAGAGAACTCCCCTTCTTAACAGTTAATTGTATTGCCTGAGAGATTTTTTTTCTCATTTTTTGTTTCCAAGCTGGTTAGAAATGTGTACTGCTGAAATGCATCTCTGCTCCTCGAGTCCCAGATGCACAGGGAATATGAAACGGACCGATCCTGGGTCAGACCTAATGTTCACTACTCTGCTGTGCAAATTAAACCTTGCATCCTCAGCCCCCCTGCAGAGCAGCCCGGCCCCAGCAGGGCAGTGGGGCACTGTGTCCCTGCTGCTGCCAGGGGCTCCCGAGCTGTGTGTGGGGAGGCAGTGTTGCCAGATGTCCCCAAACACTGCGTGCTGCTCCTCACGTGCATAAAAGGTCCTGAGCGCAGTGCTAAGCTGGGAGCAGCAAGCACAGCCCCTGGGATTTGTCTCTTCTGAGCCAACACCAGGCATTGCTACAGCATTGCTACAGCACTGCTCCAGCCACCCAACAGCACTGCTTCGCTGAGATTCTGCAAAATGGTCCTGCTGGCCCCCAGTAACACCATTAGTCATACATACAATGCTGAAAATTCATTCAAAAAAGAATCCCACAGCTCAAAGGCTGGGCATGCTGAACAAGTGCTTCCTCTAATGGCTGTATGAAGCACACAACCAGGGACCTGAGGCACAGCTCTCCTCCACAGATGAGGTTCCATACAGGCATGAAGCTGTATCTGGCACAAACACAAAACAGAAAAGTAAAAACATTTCTCTTGACTGAATCATAGAAGCTGTCTCTCTACTCTAATATTTTCTCATTGCTATTGGACGCGCTCTTCAAGAATAGGTAAAAAACTTCCCTTAAGAGTCATAACTTTCCTTGCAACTTACTTATTGGTTTATTCCCATGAGTGCAGCACTGAAAACTAATCTAATATAAAGGGATTCTCCAAATCCCCAGAAAGTTTTTTAATTTTTTTTTGGTAAACCCCTCTAAGTTCACGGCCTTAACAGCAGCCTACGGCAATGAGTTCTAAAGGATAATCAGAGCATGGAAAGAAAAAAAGAAGTTACTGTGTTATTAGTGGTTAGACCTCTTCTACCATGGAAAACTGCACAAGTGCCTCTGCTCATTTCCAAGGATTCCCATTACTCAATCTGCACTGCAGGTACGCACTGGAGTCTCCCTGGAGGGAATCAGCGGGTGGCTCGGGGAGGATGATAGATGGCACCTTGGCAAACAAGAGCTGATAATGCCATGGAAATCCTTCACACTCCTTTCCCCACGCCCTGCTCAGTAAAACGCTGCCATACATTTGTGGAGCACAGGATTTCTTCGTCGTTTTCAAAGCTCAGCATTTACGTGTTTATTTTGCTTGTTCTGCTCATTCGGAGTGGGTCACAGGTTTTATTCCACCTAAGCAGGTCCCCAAAGACAGCCACACGCTGATCGTGCAGAGGAGCAATGATGCAGGTGACCTGGAACAGTCCATCCCCTCTCCTTGAGCAGACAGCATCAATCGCCCGATAGCTGTCTCATGCATGCATTCATTTTACACGTGATTTTATTCCGAGATTATTGACAAGAATACATCTTCATACATTACAATACTTATATGCCCTTGGAGTGGAGAAGATTGTGCTCTGAGTTCCACCAGGGGATCACGCACCTCGCAGCAGCTGGACAGGCACCGATAGCTTCTCAAAGTCTAGATTAAAATGTGACTTGGGAGAAGTGATCAAACCAAAAAGGAGAGAGTTTTGTGGCATGCTGAAATGGAGACCATGTAGGTGTAAATAGGAGATTGGGATCAGACAGAAATAAACGAGCTTACAGCCTACGTGTGACTCAACCAGCCCAGATGAGCGCATCACGTAGCAGCTCACCGAGCAGCTGGCAAATGAAAGAGTTAACATCCAACACCGTCCCCCCATAGCACAGTTCTGATCCATTCAGAGCAGTTCTGCTGCACTACGCATCTCTTTTTCTGAATGCAAAGTTACAAATATTACACCATTCTCCACAATCTCTATGTGTATATATACCTGTTTAATTCTCAACGATCTGGATTTGTACATGCTTCTTCCTAAGATTTAAGCACCAGAATAGTTCCTGATTTCCCGTTTTGTTCCTACTCTTGTGCTAGCAGACAAAGACACAGGAGGTGTTAAAATAAGGAGGTTTGAGATCAGAACAGTTGCCACTCCTGCCGAGTTTAAATGTCAGACTAATATGGAAGGCTGCAAACCTTTTCAGTGCTCCTTGAGCTTCTGCCCTTTCATCCTCCCATTTTCCAGCTCCATTCTCTGAACCTAACCCTCCTGGTGGATTCAATAGCCACAAAGCTTACTCACCCCAGGACCAGACAGCAGAAGGCTCTGGGGAACTCACAATATGACCGGATGCGTTAACAGTAATGGGCCCTCTGGGAGCTGTCCCCCATCAAATGATACACACCCAGGTATCCTGCCTATTAAGGAGAGAGAGAAAAGGCATGCTGACACAGCCAGCACTTGCAAACAAAAGTCAGGACAAATTTAGCATCACTTGACAGGGTTGGATTGAAGATCAGAGGTCTCCGGTCCTTAACCTGGAAAGTCATCCTGCAGCCCTGTGAGATTTTGACAGGCTTGCAGCTACCACAGACAGGTATCCTGTGAGCTCCAGATGCTGCTGTATTATCTCTGAAAGCAAAGTTTGAGAACACGGTGTGGCTTTTAAAGAGAAACGTCCCTGCCTTTCAGTGATGGGTGACTTCAGAGCATTCAAGGCAGCAGGGCTGGAGGGGTGCCTGGGCTCCTCGGTTACTCATCCGTACTTTTCCTTCTCATACAGCACTCCTGTGTCATGGTTCTGCTGATTGCCATGAGGAAAGCATGCCAGGAAGATTCAGAAATACTCTCTGACCTTATTACCGGTGATCCTTCAGTCACATTAAAACATTTTTTGCTAAGGCCTTGCAGTACTGCAATGCTAACAGAACGTAATAGTTTCCCTCAACTTATTTTAACTACTTCCTCTGTTTTGCCACAGCTGAGCAGCTATTCCAGGATGTCTAAATGTATACAAGCACAGTTTCAGAGAATAAAGACAAAACCAAACACGGCAGCACCGAGAGAAAACTTACTGTGCTGAACTACAGCGTTTTCTGACATCTGTTTGAAAACCTGACTTCAGCCTCAGCTTTAGCTTATTTAACTACCAGCTCAACTGTGCAGAATCTATTGATTAGAAAGCACCATCACCTTGCATTCTGACAGACTTTACACACAGGAGTCTCAGAGCTCTCTACGACCAACCCAGCAATAGCTCCTGTGAAGTCAGCAAGTATTCCCCCCAGCTGAAGGGATGCTGAGAACTGATCCAAAGACAGGCTGCTCAAGGTAAGGCAATGACAGAGCTGGGAATGATCTATACAAGGACAGAGCCGTTGCACCGGTTCAAGGCAACCCTTACTCCTGTAAGGCTTTCCTTTCTTTGGTGCATATTTTTGCACTTGGTGTTATTTATTGAGAGAGAACTGGAGAACAGGAACTTCACAGTCAGGTCAGATGGCGTTATTTTAGAGGATTGAGGAAGAGATCAGCCACTTATTTCATGCACACACAGACGTGCCCACAGGCAGACAATGATACAAATGCATCTTCTCTCTTCGTTTTGGAATTATCATCCAAGGCATTCTAGAGAAATCATTATTAACTAGAAAATAAAGATTCTTATGTACCCAAAATGCTGTCACACAGGCAGCTGTCAGAAGGGTATTTCACAGCTTCCCACTGAGCTCTCTCCCTTCTATCTGAAGGCTCTCACCTGAACCTGAAATTTGCTTTATGGACTTACTCACCAGTCCTTAACTTGGACTCCTAAGCAAACTGTTGGCTTACTGTGCACTTATCTTTCACGTTGAGAAAGTTACATAATCAAAACTCAAGAATCAGCATCATTTAGCACAAACGTTTGCAATATAACTTAAGTGTTCCAAGTTACTCTAAAGAAAAAAAGCCAGGAAGACAACCTTATGCCCAAATGAGACTACAGTCTAAAACACAGATGGGGAAACTGAGATGATGCACTTGATTACAGAAAGTTAAATTTATTCCATTGCAAAAATTACTTAAAAGTGTACTGATAAACTATTTACTAAGATTGATGCTGTTTTACTTCCCGCTGGATTACCCTACTTGACACAAAATATTTTTGAGGAGTAAGAAAAAATAAAGAAAGAATATTTAATCCACTAATCTCTGGAGTAAAGAACTGACTACAGCAACATTTTGCTTTAATGCTAGACAGAGAGGGAGAGCAACCAAAGGGAGGAGAGCCTCCCCAAAAGCTGTCCTTTGATCTCCAGCAGGCTAATACCACAGGTCAAACATCTTTGCTTCTGTCTGCATCTGAAGTCTTGGAAGAAAGATGCATAAATAGAGTCAATATGCCATACTCTGACCTCTGCTTTTATGCCCTTTAGAGTCCCTGCCCCGTATTTGTTACAGAAACTACAGAAACAGATGAAAGGCAGCCAGTGTGCTAGCTGGAGACTCGGGCTCCTTGAACTGTGGCTTGAAGATAAGGAAGAAGAATTTAACCCCAGAACAATCTGAACTTGCAGCATTTTTACAAGAGGCCTTCGAAGATGAATGTTCTCCCGCATGGAAGATAGCAGAATACCAAGATATCGAGTTTCCAGAGGAGGGAGGCAACCAAAAAGAATGAATCCAACACAATAAAATCCTAAATAAAATCCCTCCTTCCCTCCAAAAATTTAAACCAAACCAGAGAGTACCTCAAAATTCCTTGTGAAATTTTAAGTCTACGACAGTAAAACCTCCAACTTCCCATTCCAAACCAATGACTGAAATTGTGGTGGGATATCAATGGTAAGGGATTTATAACACATGACAAAGGAATAAAATATGAATTTTTATTTAAAACCAACCCTACCTGTATCTCACGTGTGTTACATAGAGAGAAACGATGTGGGACTTACCTTCTGAAACACCTGATAGTTGGATTTGGACCATATGTCAAGCTGCAATAGGAAAAACAAAGTTATGGATTACTACATGTAATTACCACGAAAAAGAATGGAAGCAGCTGTTCAACTCAAAGCACAGGCAAAGGGAGCGACGGAGCTTCAGTTCTCAGTTCACTACTTTGACCCATCAACCACATCTGCTGCGATTTAAGAAAGGGAAATAATGACATCAGAGTTAATTTGTTTTGCAGTGAAAAAGGAACACAGTTCATTACAGTTTCAATAAAAATATAAATGTGAGATCTGTTGAATTAATGTGTTCCCTTTAAAAAATGCTCATCTGTCTGAGGCTGCGGCTGATCTGCACAAATATTCATCAGCTTTGGTCTGTTCCTTAAATGAGGGCATTCTTACTAAGTTGATGCTCATCTTGTGTCTGAATAAGCGATTCAGTTACAATGACACAAAGCACGTTTAGCTGAATTAAGCCAAAGCACTGCTCTTCTGGGACTAAATAAAGCATCCCCTAGGAAACTGCATTTACATCCGTAGACAAAATCACACCGGCTGTAGATAACTGCACACATCCATGACATAAGCGTGTGCTCAGCCAGATAGGAAATAAATGTTGGTAACCCCAGAAAGCAGAAGGTAATGCTGCCCTTGTTGAACAACCAAGTGGCTCGCACGTCGGACAGTTCGAAGCGATGTGCCAGTGCTCTTTAGCCCAGCCCTGTGGAACAGCTTGTACTCTGTCACAGAAAAGCAGCAGGGAAGAAAAAGAAAAAAAGAAAAGCAGAATTTCCTTCAACCCCTGACTTGCAAATCACTTTTGTCTTACAGATCCCACTATACTCAAGCACTAGGATAAGAAAAGCCATCAGCTTCACTCATTAGTGCCAGGTTTCTTCCAAAGTGCACAAAATCCCCTGGCATGTCCTCGCTTGCAAATTCACCTTTAATCGTGGAGAAATAGACACATACAATGGCTCTGGCTTTCTTGGAGAAATGCGTTCAAATGCACACGTAAAACCTGCATTGCATTATTTAGTTGTTCTATCAATTGTATAATACACTTGTTTTATTAAAATATGGCAAATGATGCTAAAAATGCAAATAAGAGATCTCAAGCTAAATGTACAATCCTGAGAATAAACAGTGTGGTACCAAACACGGTCTGCCAAGTTTACACCTTAAGAGAAATGGATTTAAAGGAAGCAACTCCGTGCTGGGTTCACCTCCTTTATTATAAAGCACAGCCAGTTATCTCAATCCGACTTGCAGCAGTGCTCACAAGCTGCAGCTGGAACAAGCCTTCTGAAAGGCACACGGGTTAGAGCCTGGAATGGAAGAAGTCCCAGCATGTGCATAAAACACACAGGAGGGGGAAGGCCACTGAACCCCAGTAATTAATGCACATAGGTTAAATGGCTGGGAACGCTACCAGTCCCCATGTCTTTAAGACTAAAGCTGTTATGTGCCTGCCTTCAGAACAGTGGCACAGAAGTGACTCCTGAGTTTCCAAACCTCAGCCTGACGGGTGATGTTAAAGATTTTAGCATCACTTCTGAATGGACGTGTCATGGCTTAGCAGTGCTGACCTTGCCGTGAGACAGAAGGCAGCTGATGCCTCGATGCCTTTTCCAGGTCAGCCGAAGGCAGAAGTACCCTAAGGCATGTTACCTTCAAAACTTTACATTTATGGCTCTTAAGGCAGGTTCAAGAACCTCAACACCGACACTGCTCCTACGAGCAGCAGCCCAGCTGGGACTTGGAGCCATGCATGATTCTCTGTGCAGTGTACCTGCGCCTGTGGGGAAGGAAGCATCACATTTCCATATTAGAAAAGTCTACACTTAAAAATAGAATATTAATACAGATTTTTTTAAGCTGTTTTTGTGTAAGTTTGGGCTTGCTTCAAAAGCAGAGTTGCTATAATTGGAATATATACATGGTTTTGCTAATCTCCAGTGATCACACGCAGTGTGTGATCCTCTCTAGGTAGATTTGAGATATAAAAAAAAAAATTAAAGAAAAAACTCCACTTCAGATGCTGCATTAAGCATTAAGATGAGTCCAACAGGTTCTGAAATGTTCATTAGTTGACAAGGAGAGTGGAAAGCTGAAAAAGTAATGAAAGTCTCCTAGGTGTGATGTTAGCTGAGCTGAAAAAGAAAAAAAAGGAAAAAAAAAAAGCTACCAGCCCCTCCCCAAAGCACACGCAGAAATCCTACATGACTGCCCACCTTTCCCCCAGCCAGAGGATGAAGGCAGAGGCGGATTAAAGAATGCATCGTTACAGGTCTATTATTCTTCAACTTTTCACTTTCAATCAAGACACACATTTGTAACTAAAAAACTGCTGAAAGCACAATTCCAGGGCATCCTCTGCATGTGAATTAAACTGGGGCTTTTTTTCCCAGCGCCCCGTTCTCCCCACCCACCCCCAGCATAAGTAACGAGAGGCCATTTTCTGAAGGTCATCTGAACGATTTCAAAGGCGATAACAAATCAGAATGTTCCCTGCATCTAATATCAAACAGGTCCTGTGCCAACACTTATTAGAGAAATCGGATTCAACCCCCCTTCACCCAAACACACACACACCCAGCTTTGAAGTGGAAAGAATACGGGGATCAGAAATTACCCGAGAGACAGCGCGGGCTGTCTTTGAAGCTTTCCTTTGATACTACTATTTCTTTTCCTCTCTTACGCTAGGAGGCTAAAAGCTGCCTTCGCTTATTGATATGGGGTAATTAATGAAGCCACAGCATTAACATAACCCCAGTTCCTTAACATGATAATTCAATAGAGACACTTATGTTTCTTTAGTTAAGTCGAACGGATGCAGAAATCAGAGTTTGGCTAGGCAGGGATGTTAAGTGCCCACTCCAAATGCACCCTGCCTTGCTGCTCCGTGGTACCAGAGTCCAAAGAGAAGCAGGGTGCTGCCCACCACGCCAGCAGAATCCCAATGCATCTCTATTTTTATTGGCAGACTAGGTTAACTAATGGTTCAGCTGACGATCAGCCTGCCCTGCAAGAGCGAGCTGCACAGCTTCATTTATTCAGGAATCGGGACAACATTAGTAATTAATTACTATCGTGGTTAAATTCCAGTGCACAATGAGTATGTCAAAGTTTGAAATCGAAGGTGGCACGGTGCCATAGCTGAAGCTACAGGGCTAATTAAAACACATCAGTATGGGGTGGACGTAATGGCTGGTACAGTAAGCAGGAGAGAGGCAGAGCAGTCAGCACACAGAGCCGGCTGCATGACAGCGCTGCCACAGCTCACCTATTGTTTTTGCAAAGTGTCACCAAAAATGTCTAAGTTATGCAGCTGGCAACCTGGCAAAGACACATTCTGCAGGGTTTGTGAATAATTCACGAGAGAAGTACACGAAGCACTTAAGAAACACACTGATGCTTTGTCTATATAAGCAAAGCTTGAAAATAAAACGCCAAAGTGCAGTATCCTATTTTACCCATGGAAAGCTTAACACTACTTTTCATTTTTTCACCTTCACTTTGAAAGTATTTAAGTCTGTAAGAGAGAGCAACCAATTTAACTAGACTTCAGTACAGCAGAAACCACGGGAAGCTTTCGCATAAGCTCCTGTCAGTGCAGACAGTGCGACGTCTAAGTGCACAGCAACCCGCATAATGCAACGTCAGCTCTCCTGTGTACCTGCTGGCAGTGCCTCAGCATGCTGCCACGCACAGCTCTGAGAGCCACCCATGTTTGTTTTACTTCTAGATCTGCCTGCCTAATGCACCAGATGACACCAGTACCTCTCCTGTTTGCTCTCTCCCTTCTCTCTCCACAAATGCAAAATTTGCTAAACCAGTTGTGCTTTCCCCTTCTGTGCCTCACAAGGCACGTTCCACTTTCTGCCTGTGCCGTCCTTCAGTTTTTTGTTGGACAGTGCTGAATACATTGCACTGCCCCAAACCTCGCCGTTCAGAGAAATCCCCCCAGAGAATCTCACTTTTAAAGGACCTTCTGATATGTGGGCTTAGGAGGCTTGCTCAGAAGACCACCACTCAGCTATTTGCACGTAGAGAAGTGCAAGGATGCTGTGACTTATTCCAGCGCCCCTTCTTCAGCATGACTTACAGAAAAAAGAGGAGCTTCAGAACTGCCATACTGTATGATACCTTTTTAGTTACTCTCATCCTTGCTGTTTACAAATATTAAATGATCCCTACAAATAAGCAAAACCCCCAATCAGCAATCACTGTGCAAACTGCTAGTGGGAAAAGCAATCACTCCCTACAGCAACTCCAAAGCTTCTCTGCGTTTTTATTATCTAACAAACAGGATGCTCACTGATCTCCTTCACACCTTTCTGAGTCTCTGAGCACTACTGCTTCCTTCCCAGCACTAGGCTGGAAACTGAGAAGCTAGAACAGTGGAGCACTTTCCCTACAGCAGCTGTTGTGACAGAGAAGGAATTGGAATGGACTATGTTTGCAATCGACTGTAATCACTCATTCCCAGCAGGCACAATAAAGTAAAGCGAATCATTGCAAGAGCACTATCTTATTCTTATACTCCAATTACCAGTGTAGTTAATTAGTGGAAAAAAAGGGAGCCCACTGTTTGTCAATATGTGCTCCAGTTGGCAAAACTAGCAAGCTACGCATATATTCAATCTTCCAAGCCAAATTTACTCATGATTTAAGAGGCTGCAACTCCAGTTCTACCAAAGTCAGACGAGATGTTCCTATTTATACCTGAAATGCAGACCTACAGCTTTGCTCCAGCCTTGAGATGGCCCAATGGAATAGCAACTGCCACGGTACAGACAGGGGTTCATCCAGCCTCGTGGGAGCCGTCGCATCGCCCCGCTTAGAATGCTGAAATGTAAGTTGGTAGAGAACAGCCTCCCCTGCAGACTGCTTGAAGCAAGAAGGCAAAGCAGGTGTTAGCAGTGCTGCTCAGGAGGAGGTAACTGCTCCCTATGGACACAGACAAAGGTTAGTGCCCCGTGCCCAAAGCCAGCCGTGGTGAGAACCACTCTCAGATGACAACAGTGGAGGAACACAGCTCTCCTGAGAGCTAACCTGGAGCGAGACAGAAGCTGCACACCAGATGCTGAGTTTTGCAAAGGAACTTTTACCCATCTTTTCAGCACATACAGCATAATTATATTTCAAGGGAGCCTCAAAGAAAACTGGATTCATTGGAGAAAATGAGCACACCCACATGAAATGTGACATGGGAAACCAACAAGTGGTGTCAGTGCTTTTTAGGCTATTCTTTCACTTCCCAGCAGGTCTCAAGGTGAAGAGGGGCTGATGCTTTAGTCTGCATTTGTATGCTGATATACTGGGAGTGGGGTGCAACTGCTTCTGCTGCAAAGTGGTGTTTAAACCCGTAGATCTGAGCAACACAAATAAAAACATCAGTGCGTTTTTATTTTACTCTTCCCTAGGCCAATCCCCCACCCTTCAAGTAAGAATCTCTCATCTGGGAAACGTAGCTGCGTGACACTCTTTGGCAGATCTGCTCCTGGCCTTTTCTAGGGAACAGAGATTTAGACTGGAGCTGCTGAACCCTGGGTCAGTACACAACGTGCTGCTGTGTGCTGAAACCCAGTTATCACTTCAGAAAGGAAAGAAGTCTCACCTCATTATAACATGGCCTATGGGTGCCAAGTACTCATCTTGATATAATGAACTTTGTATTTTAATAGGCTTCATAATCAGAAGAGAAAGCTCCAGAGAGAAAATGTGCAACATGGAGGCATTTAGTACTGTTTCTGGCACAGGAGTGTCCTGCTATCTCAGTAACAGAGACCACGCCACCCTGAGCCAAGGAGGAACAACCTGAGCCAAAGGTGTCAGCTCCTGTCCTGAACTCGGGCTGCAGGCGGCCATCTGGAGTCAGGAGAAATGCAAGGGTTCAAGCATGGTGAATGGCTGATGAAACAAAACCCTCGTGGAAGCAGGGAACACTCACCTTTAGTGGCTGCTGTTCAAGACGAGCCGATACTGACAAGGAAATTACTGAGGACTACCTAGCAGTGATTCTCATGGCTGAGCTTATCAAGTTGAACACAAAGCTAGCCCAAGATTTCCCAAAAGCTCTCAGAAAAGAAAAGACTGAACCTTGGGCTATTGATGTGCTCGAACACTGAAAAAATGTTTTCTCAGTAGACACTATTAATGAGGCAACCGGGGGTCTAAGGTGATAAATTAGAAATTCAAGCTAGAGCATCAGAGCTTAGAAAGAAGTCAGACATTTGGGTATGAAAAATCCAAGGAAAGCATGATAAATTTAAACCCTGTAAAACATCCACAAATTCTTCTGACAGTTTTGTGATTCCAGCATACTTGTGATGGGATGCCTTTTCTCTGACATTTAAATATCAGCTAAAAATAAAATTGATGGTTGCTGGATACATGATAACCTACCTTGCCATCGTCAGTATAGACGTTTTCATTGTATCCTTTTACTATCGTCCGGTCAATGAAGAGGCTCCGCATCACCACTATCACTTTTAACACTTTTCCTAAGGTAACCTATCAAGAAAAGGACAAACAAGGTGAAGGAGAGCTAATGGTGTCTGAATTCACAAGACCATCATGTTAACAGCTTAAGCTGATGCAATCTCAGTTTTCAATATTTTATAGACAGAACAAAACAGGAGATCTGAAAACACTGTGCACATTATGAGGAAGAGACAGACCATAAAGTGCAGAGCAAACATTCATTTGCAACCAAAAATGTATGAATTCACAGAATTCCCTTGTGCAGACACGACACAGCCAAGCAACTCCCTCCATTTTATAAACAACACAACTCAACAACTTGTCAAAAAACAGTGAGCAAATTATGATTAGTTTCAATGTATTCTACATTCTCCAATGGGAGTCCATGTAAGCAAAAATAATTTGAAAGAAGAATCAGGCTCTTCTAATGTAAGCTTTTAAAAGCATGCCATAGGTTCAATGTAAAACACTTTAGGTCCACACTTTAGGTAAAAATATTTACAAGAAAACAAAGTGGGACAATAGCAATTACAACAGCAACAATCTCACATTTTGAAAGGTTTAATTTTCTTTTGTAGTAACAGCAAAGGGCAAGGAATAAAAGTAGCATCTTGGTCTGTCACAATATAACAGCAGAAATAAACCTAAATTACAGTATCGACAAAGAAAACAATAATGAAGATGCTTTAATCTAAAAATCAATTTAACATTCAAAGATGAACTTGTACTTCAATCCTGTTTAAACCTCTAATAGGAATTTTGTCTTTCTGTCCTGTTGTACAAACATGATGGAGTTTTCACTCGTCCACAAAAGCACAAAATTGCTCTTTATTCTCTTAGTCAGCACCAGTTACTCATGTTGAAACAAGGTGGGAGGCAGCAGTCGTTAGCAGAAATTAAAAAGGAAAAATATACAACAAATCAATAAAGACGCACAGTGACTGATTTCTTTGGGAGTGGATTTATCTGCTGATGTTAGCAGGAAGATGATGATTGCTCTCGCATGTGTTCATCTGAACTGGATGAAGTGCTGGAACACAGACAGCAGAAAACAGGCGATGCCAACGCCGATGGACTGTGCTGGAGGACTGAGGGCTGGGACGGGAAACGGGGGAAGGAATGGAGTGACAGCACAGAGCTTTTTTAGAACAGTCACCCAAAGTGCTGTAAATACCAGTTTCCCATTTTAAAGAACTACACAGCAGGACAGTTACAGATCCTAAAAGAAACTGATGACAACTCTTTGGTGTGGGATGTGGAAAAAAGCAACTCCGGGCCAGAAGAGTTAGAGCAAGAGGAAAGAATGAGTTGACAGCAACAGACAGATCAAGGGAAAGAGAAGGGAAAAAGAAGTCAATGACAGCCTTCAAGATGACAGGCTGCTGGGCATGATTTTTCAAAAGCATAAAGGAAAAAGCAATCCACAAGAGATTTTTGAAGAGAAAAAATGTTGCAGAGGTAGGGTAGCCTGCAAGAAGGCCTGAGCTACACCCACAGCACCAACAGCTCTGATTCCCACCTTCTCCCGTTACACTGGGACTTCATGAACATGTACAGAACCACTCAGCATTCTCAGGCAACCCAATAAGGTCTCAGGTGCTGTGAATTTAGGCCTAAAGGTGGTACTGGGATCCTCTGTGATGAGACCTAGTTGGTCTGCAAGTAAAGGAAAGAAGAAAGCAGCAGAGCACTGTAACAACTAAGTTAAAAATACAGTCCCAGATGTGGCTGCTCTATGATGCTGATCATCTGCTGGAATCAGAAGATCGACTTTGTCATAATGGCAGAATTAATTAGAAACGAGATGAGAAATTGGAGACACCCTGAAAAAAGCTGTTGGCACGCTCACAGTTAATTGTTTTTTTATTTACTCTTTTCTACCTCATTTAAGAGCGGCGGTTTTCTAGGATGCATCCCTACTGAGAGAACTGCCTCCACCCCACACTGTGCAATTATACACAGCAAAATTCAGAGCAGAAAAAGAGGAAACTTTAAACAAAACAGAAATCTTCTTAATGAAGAGCAAAAAGGCAGTCCTACAAACTCCCAGACACAGCTCTATATGTAATATTTTCTATTTTCATTCCTTTCACACACTTCAGTGGATGCTCACTTCTTTCCCCTGCGTTCCGCGTTCATATCTCACATTGCTGCCAGGCAGGAAAAAAAACTTGGATGAAGTTGCTCTGAAGCCTGTGTGGGATGTTCCTGAAAATCCTCAGAGTTAGTAGTCACACGTAACAAACTGAAAAGTCCCATGTTTGGCACTCCAGCTTGCTCGCATACACATCCTGCTGCCCCCAAACCTCCCCACCAGGCTGACCTGCACAAATCCTCTCGAAATGCTTCTGCATCAGCTCACTGCCCTTTTACAGGTCATCCGTTTTCACAGCCTTCCAGCCATTCACTTTTCACTTTCAGAAGCTGTCGCTGTTACCCAGATCGCAGCTATTATCCATCATGCAAAACTGAAAGGCCAAATTTTGCAGGCTGGAACAGGACAGCAGCTCACATCATCCACATGTTGAATGCCAAACAAGCAGGGTCACTGCCTTCCCTCATCTCCCATATCTGGGAGAGCTGTGTACAGCCACTCTTAATGCATGCTTCTGAGTGAGCTCTCTGGGTGAGGTGCTGTGTTGGAATCTCTACTCACACAGCAGTATTAGCAGTGAATTGGCAGTCTGGCATCGAAACAGAACAATCCCCTATTTTGAGCTGCTGTTGTGTTGGCATAGAATTCCTCCTATAGGTTTTAGAGAGGTTGGAAGAGAAATCAGGACCTTCAGACAGTTGCTGCAGGATATCAAAAGGAATAACAGGAACAGTACACAAGTTAAGTCTCAAGAAATGCAGAAGCATAGCTCTGAGGACTCACAGATCATCATTTTTAACAGTGCTGAAACACTGAGGTAGGCAGCACAAAGAATGAACCATCACCAGGCTGGAGGATGCAGTTACACGTGGGAGCCAAAAGGATGCCCCACAGCTCTTTAAAGGATAAAGCACATTCTCTGCTGTACACGAGAAATGAGGGACCTTTTATTTTTCCCTCTAATGATCAAGACTCATAAGCATTTTCAAAATGTGAATGTTTTTGTTCACACAAACCACATTTTAAAGATCACGTTTTCCAGCCAACAGTTTTCCTTTGATGCCTGCTGAATGCAGGTAACTGAAGCCCATGTATGGAATATAACTTACACCTTTGGTTGCAGAGCTGCATCCCCATAGAACACCTGAAGGAACAAAAACCCAATGGCTCTGATAAAAAACAAACAAACAAACAATCGGAGAGTTCTGCTCTGAACCCAGGGAGCACAGGGCGCTGTGCTGGAGCTCAAGGCTCTCCCTGCTTTAATGGGCACAATGCAGCCTGCGCTGCCACAGAGAGCAGCTGCACGAAGCTCCTCTATGACACCGAAATGATACCTTTCCTCTGCAAGAAAAAGGCAACAATTTCCCTTCTAAGCCACCTTCTCCCATTAAACTGCAACCTCTTCTGTCGATACCCTGTTAAGACAGCACTTGGCTTTTTAATATTTTGCCTGTAGGATATATGCCAACTTGTCCTTGATGTGGAAGATTTTAATTCAAATCAATACGTGTACAAGGTCACTTTAAAATTCAATTAATATGAATGAAAAAATATGCCCCACAGTTCTGTGAGCTGAAAATGGAACAGCTGCGAGTTAAATACTTCTGCAGCCTCTGTTTTGGTCTGTGTAAAAACAACGGGCTTCTCACTCGCTTTTAACTCAAGTGCACTGAATTCAGGCAGTGAAGTTTTCTGTAATGCCCCTGCTTCCCAAATCAGCAGGCACCAGACGAAGGTAGGACAGGCAGCTGACTGAAATCTGCAATATTATGCAGCTTTTCTGACAAAAATATAGAAAATAAAAATCTTGAAATATCCCAGTTTTAAAAATATTTTGTCTATCGCTACGGTAACTCTCAAAGAGCAGATGACAGATGCTGTATGCCAAGTCTGGGGGAGGGGATATGGAATAATCAGTGAAAATGCTTCAGATAATTTCTTGTAAGGCTGCTAAAAACGTTCCCAGTTAGCACAGCTCACCAATTGGAGAAGAAAGAAATACCTTTCCAAATGAGTCAGTATCAGGGCCAAAACTAATCCGCAGAATGATAAGGATCAAAATCCATTTGCCATGCCAGAATTCTGCCTGGAAGAAATAGCTTGCAACACACCCCTTGATTTGGCCTTTTCATTGGAACGGATAGCAAATGAAAGGACCTTTTAGAAATGATTTAAAAAATGCATTAACAAACATTCTTTCTTCAGATTTATCTGAAAGTTTAATATTAGGAGAAAGTGTGCTGACAGCACTAAGCTCCAACACTTCACAGAACAATCCCAAAGCTCCAGATTTCCCCTCAGCATCCCAGGGAATTTGCTGCTGATCTGAGCTGCAGATGCTCTGCATTGCAGAGCTAAAAGAAAGACAACGTTATTTTCAGTTAACAGGGTACCTCCCTGCTAGTATAGAAAGGACCACGAGTTTGCATGAGGTTTTTAGTCACCTTTCAAAAGAACAAGGCAACATCAAAGCAGAGATGCAACCAAGCTGCACACATTTCCAGCAAAAGGCCAGGCACCTGCTCCTTCTGGAACTGCCAGCCAGAAGCCTTTCCTCCCACTCCTACATCTATCTTACTAATCACTAGAATGGCTGGAAATCCTATTTATATGTACTGGAAAAGAAGGTTTTGTATTCACTACATAAATCAAACTGCCCCCCCAGAACCTTCAGCTAGGTTTTTTTCCCTGTGTCTCATCTGCTGTATCAGTGCTGCACTTTCCCTCACATGCTCATTATTCTTTAATGATGCCTATTTGTAAATAGCAAGATAGGATGCAATTAAGCTATTAGAGTCTAAATAAACAACCATACTAATTAGTTCTTTACAAGGAATTTTTTCCTTTTTTTTTTTTTTCTTCCCCTCCTTATTTTAATGTAAGGGCTGGAATTTGACTTTCATTAATTGAATCTAATTGCAGTAGTGCACGATAAGAAGTTAACGCAGATAAAGGATTTAAATGATTTTGCCATATTAAGGATAAGCTGGTGATGCTCTCCTTTAGTACATGGCACTTCCTGCTAATTAAGCAAAGCATCACACAGTGCTGTTGTGCCAGCCACACATACGAACTGGTGATGCTGGACCAACACTGCCATGGGTAGCAAAATGGATTTTGTCTCTTTCTATTCTGAATTACAGCACAGCAGGAACTTCATAGAGTTGAAAATGGATCTGGACCTTGTATAAAATGAAACTTCTTCAAAAAACAGAAAAATTCTTCTAACCTCAGGTCACAATTTGCAATTCTTCAACTCCTTCCAAGAGTAAGGTGCCTTGAACAAGAATCAGTTAGAGACCTTTTTAATGGGCAAATAATTTCAGAATCCATTTTCCTTTGAGAAAACCATCATGATTTTATATAAAACACTGATAAACAATATTCAGACATAAGAAGTTGTTCAGATTCAGTGAACAGACGTCTTGCCTATTTGCCTTTAATACAGCCCACTTCCATACAATCAGACTGTTTAAAATGCTTGGAACAAGATTTGAAAGTTGAAACGCAAAATGTGTCTGATTTTACTGAGAATGAACAGAAACTGTGCAAAAATGCTTCATGTTTTTATAGGAGAGATCCACTACAATTCTAAGCATCTGTATAAATGCATAAAATGCCTTCAGCATCAGAAAGTTTGTAAGATAACATGAAAACAAGAAATGCCAATTTCTGAAATGAGCTTTGCTTTGGAAGAAACAACTTTTCCAATGGAGAGTTGGTTACACAGAGCACTATGCTTCAGAAACAGCTCCAAATACAGAAAGCTATTCATTATTTCTAAAAATATTCACCTGCTGTCTCTAACTTGGAGAGCAGTGACCTTACATAGCTTTATAAACACTGGGGAGACAAAGCTGCTTGAAGAGCAAGTGGCTCCTGGATGAAGATGAGCAGAAGTTGCTGTGTCTGCGCAGGGCTGGCCAGGTACATGGCCCTAAAGAAGTTCATATGGGACCAATACTTCCTGAGTTGTACAACATCCAAGGAATGAGTTGCAGGAATTAGAAGTTTCACACTGAAAAAGAGAGTCTTAACGCTGGTAAGAGAAACAAGGTATTTGAAACAGCCATACAATGGGTGCATCATTAGAAACAAGTAGAGACTATCTAGGAATACAACTAACTATTTAATACCATCAAAACTGCAGGTATTTTGCATTAATTAAAAATCAATTTGTGTTTCCTTAACACAAGATGAGGTTTCTCTCTTTACAGCTCCTGGCAGTTGACCAACAAAATCTCACAAAAATCTTAAGAAAGCCTCAGTTCCCTCTGCTGCTGCTGCTGCAAATTAATTTTGCATAACACTGTTATTAAAGCTGATACAATTCTATGTTTAGTCTTTTTTATGCATAGCACGATTAAAAGATTAATAGAAAAATCACCAGTGAAGATTGGGATTAAACAGCACCTTGAAATGGTAAACTGCTTTTAAAGTCGGTTGAGGATTTCACACAGCTCTGAAAGGCTTCAATTATTTATGTTTGGTCTGTGCAGCATAAATCCAGACTAATGAGGTACAATTGCTGTGTATAAATCTCCAACACAAAGATCTCCTTATTGTCTGAGGAAGCAGCACCCTCCAAGGAGCAGCAGGCAGAAACCTTTCAATGCACAGCATTTGTGCTCGCAGGAACACTTTCTTCACCCCCCCCCCCTCCTTAAAGTTCTCAGCTTATTGCAGAGCTGTACTGTGCTGAGGGAGAGCCCAGCATCACGCAGAGGTGACCAACCCTGCGACTCAGCCCAGCAGCTGTAATCACCTCTCTAGAAACATGCGGGATCTGAAAGCCCCACATCACAGCTAAGGACACGACGTGATTTCCACGTGAATATGAAGATGGGCACCAATCAGTTTGGGACTGACATTTTCTGAATTAGATCTCTTTTTCCCCAAGGATGACATTGCGGTCATTTCCAGTGATTCTGAAGTTTCAAAGAATCTCACAGCCCTGATCCTCCTTCCCCACCTCCTTCCAATAGTTTGCACATTCTTAACATACGTATCTGCTTATCAGTGCCTTTGATGACAAATGTGTGTGCTTCTGGAAAACTAAAGGACTGGATTTAAAGATATCTTAATATAACAATACCTCTATGGTAAAGATCTTCACAAATACGATGCAGACACTGCACAAATGAAACTGGTTGACATTATGGTTGGTTAATTATCTCTGGACAAACTGCATACGGTCGTGAAATATTTTTAAACAAAACAAGCATTATCTGAATCCTTTGGCATTATGGTAAATCACTGCTGTGGAAGAGCAGCTCCACATCTAACTTGGGATGAGTTCAGAGTGAGAAATGACACGTTCTGCAGAAACCCCCCTTCTTCTGGGGGAGGTGCTCTTCACACTGCCCATCCTGCAGCACCTTTCGCTGAATGATTTGTGGCTGAAAACAGCAAAAGCTTCTGCAGCAGTCGGGGCCAGATGGAAAGTGCCATATTGGCAACACCAACTGAGACAGATGGGAAAGAGGGAAAACCTGCCTAAAAGAAAAAATGATAAACCCATCACAAAATCACATGCAAAAACACTTTAAAAACAGCGGTTTTGATCTCTGATCCAAGGAAGATATGCAATCCATTGGTTCATTGCAGTGCTGTTGTCCTTGATTAGAGACCAACGTTATTTCGGAAGTTATTCTAAATGCAAATGAGGCTTCTTTTACAGTTACCATTTTCCCAGTGCACCTTGCTCCCAACCAGCTTTATCCAAGGTAACTCACACAATTTCCCAGTTGTGCCCAGTTCTTGAAAAGTATCACATGTTTTCTGACCTCAAAAAGCCATCAGAATAGGAAGGCAATTACTGGGTGCAGAGAGGGACTCCAAGAGGATGGAAATGGTTTCCAAGCAAGGAAGTAAAATGAGACTTTTTCTTTTCTACAGTGAAACAGTTAAACATAAAGTCAGCTGAACAGCAAATGCAAAAGCTTCTACAGAGCTTAGGACTGCACTGATGAATTCAGTTCTTTTATGGAATATGTTGTTCCACTTGGTGAATCCAACAATTGCAGATGAAATGATTTAATGCCAGTGGAAGCCAGCTGTATATTTTAACCTCTGACTCAATTAATCCCTGGCGAATTTTAGGCTACTTAAAGAAAGTTAATAGTAAGATGCTAAAGAATTGATAAATTAAAATGGAATGTAACCACAGCTACACTTAATATTGAGACATTTATAGTATTTTTGAAAAATACAGGCAAAATCTAAAAATATCAGAGTAGTCAATTGAACAAACACTAAAAAAACATAAATTCTTGATTCAAGAAAGCTGTTTTGACAAAATATCTGATTTCTAGATTTCTCTTACGATTTGCTTGGAAACAACAACTGCACTCACACATGCACTATAACCAAGCCTTTTGTAGCAGCTTATGTGAGGATGTGCCACGAACGATCTGAGATGGAAAAGACGGATTTGGTCCCACATTTTCACTTGGATATGGAATTTTCCACTTTCATTTAAAAGCTGTCAAAAGATTTGACTTCAGTCTTTTACTCTGCTGCAGGAGAATCAGCTTCCCAGTGCCATGCTGTAAGAGCTCAGCAGACCCTATTGCTGTGCTGCTGTCCTGGAGTCGAAACTTTATACAGACTCGTCTCCTTCTCTAAGCACAGCAGCTGCCTGTGAGAACTGATGTGAACAATAGGCTCTTCTGGAATGAAATCTTGCTTGGTCAGGCAGAAATAAGTCGAATGTATTGGACTTGTTTATCTATAATCCAGCCTTTACTGCTCATTTACTTCAAAGGCAAATTCTTGACTTCATCATAAAACAGAAATTCATTGGACCAAGAGCAATTTGAACAAATTTAGACAAATGAAAGCAATACAATTTCACTCCTCCTTACCCCTACTTCTTTTTCTTCTTCACCGTCATGACTGAGATACACTCATTGCCAAGACTGCTGAAAAACACAGCATCTGACCTCACGCTCACATTTCAACAATCTTATTTAACAACAAAAAGCATTTAAAGATGAAGTTCTTTTTATCATCTATTTGCCCAAAAGCAAAAGAGATCTTACACTGCTGGGTCAAACGAAGAGCAGCGTGTTTCTGGGAAAAAAATAATCCTTAATAGCCTGCCTTTTAGAAATAGCAATTAAGTCCCTTAAGAAATCCATCTGAAAGGACGAAACGACCCAACTCACCAGCAGCATTGCAGAGGTCCCATTGGGCCGGGAGAGTTGGATAGACATCTCAGGAAACATCCTGTCAATGCGATTGATCACGTCATCGACGTACCTGCCGAACAACACGACAGTCACACACACCTCCCTGTCACAGACTTGCAGATTATTACTTATTTTTAATGTCCAGAGGATTTCTTTGAATGACTTTAATTATCTTTGATACAGACAAGATAGCGAATATCTTGTACAGAATAAAAGTATGGGAATAAAAAGGAACGGACTGACCTTGAACACAGGCAAACCATGAGCTACACCCAAGTGGATGTTGCAAATACTAATTACTTCAAAACAGATATTGAAATATAAAAACACACAGCGTTTTCAAAAAGCAGAAGACGGGATACAAGCAAATATGGGTTGCTGTTTAAGAGAAAAGCATTTTTGCAGAGCATTTTTAAATACAGCCAGATATCCTTTATTAGGTAACACGAAAGTCTGCAAAGGTTTCCAACAGAACACAGGACACAATTTGTCAGGCAACCTCCTCGGGGATGTTTTGTCCATCAGAGCTGTGGGACACCCAGATCAACTGTCCTGCTTACTCACAGAGTGATAAAACCCAGCAAAACCTCTCCCACCCCAGAAAGCTGTGTCAAAACCTTAATCTGCACTTCTAATTGAGCAGAAAAGTTTCCCCATTCATTTGAATGACTCATTAACAGCCTGTTTGCTAATAAGCAGACAGAATATCCATAAACCAAGATTTCAGTGTGGTGAAGGAGGAGACTCTTATGAGTGCTTCAGGACGAGTAATCTACACATCAAACATCAACAGTACACACCTAATTTTAAACACTACCAAATCCCAAATCTCCTGTGTGTGAATGGAGATGTCTGAGATGCTGGTGAAAAGCAATTCTGTGTTTCTCCATTAGAATATGGCTAGGAACTATCTCACAACCTTGGACGTTTTAATGCAAATTATTGCAGTACTTAACTTTTCTGAGTTTGGGATGATAATTTAAAAACAAATAAATAGAAAGTTGCACATCATAAAACAAAAGACAAAGCCCACATGCATTAAGGAAGAAAAATTCAAGTAATTTGACATCACAGAAACAACACTGTGGACTCTGGAATTTATCTGCTTGTATCTCTCTGGAAAACCCCAATGGCTATGTACATTTATCCTTTAAAAAGATCCAGGTTGGTTGGAGGTGATTAATTCTTCAACTCTCTCTTAGACCCAATCATTTTTAAATGCAAAACTTGCCTTGACTGCATGCCTTCAAGCTATGCTCAAAGCCAACCACCATCACGTGCCACCTGAGCAGGAGAAACAGATCCTTCTTTTTCTCTCAGAAAAGATTGGTGTCAGGCAGAACAGGGAGCTCTGGGCTTCTCAACAGCACTGCCTTGGAATAAACCCACACGTAAAGCTATGCAATTAGGTCAAAAGTTGATATAAAAATAGAGATCTGAAGACATCTGCTCACGTTAACTCAAAATGAAGTTCTACCAAAAGCCGATTACTAAGACACTGGGGTTTAGAACTGGTTTTGTAATGCTCAAGAAAACCAATCCAAAAAAAACCAACCCAAGAAAAAAATAAACAAAGGAAATCCATGTTACTTTGGCAAGGCACAGCTATGGGGTCCATACCCACCAGTGGCCTTTTCCTTCCTTTCTCAATCAAGAGAATCCAGAGGAAATCCACAAGCCCTTTGCCTTTATTTAAAAGCAGACATCAGTGCTTCCTGAGGACGCATCAGACCAGAAGGGTTCTTTAAGGATTCACACCTAATCACTGAGTTAGCCTGACTACACGATGGCCTCAACTACAAAATGACATCCAACCTAATGCACGGCAAAGCTCCTCTAGGGCTATGCCCTTCAGAGAGGATGTCAGGTAAAACACCCTGCTAAGTATGGTTAGGTTGAGGTTGGACTTGATGATCTTGAAGGTCTTTTCCAAACTGAGCAATTCTATGATTCTGTGATCGGTGCAATAAGCGAGAAGCAGCACGGCAGTGTAGAAGGATAACTGGTGACAACTGCAGAGCAAACTGAAGAGCATACAATGAAGATGAGACACGGTGCATTCCCGAGGCTGTCTGCAAAGAAGGTCATAGAAAAAGCTGCTGTCTGGAACTTCTTTTGCAGAAATGAAATGCATTAATTTAGTGCCAAAGTAAGAGCAATCACAATTTACACATCTCTATCCAGCAAGTTACAGCTCAAAAATATGATGGCTCCTATTTATGCTACAGAACTTTTTACAGACTCTCAGAAATGTGTAGCACTTAAGAAGAGAAGTTTAATTTTACTTCTGCTATGAGCACTTCCAACGTATCACCACGTCTCAGTTCTCTCCTACTTACAAAAGACGCTGGTTGGAATGAGCATTCACAGACACAAGTAGTAACAGAGCAGGGAAAAGCACATGGAAATAGATTTGCTGAAACCTCAGGCATATCTTACGAAAAAAAAATACAGTGAACTCTCAGAATTACAGACAAGGTGAAATCAGATGGCAGTAAATTCCCCTCTCGCCCTAAAACAGCCGGGTTTCCTACGTTTGTTGCAACTTCTCCATCCCATTTTCCTTATCCTTCTCTCCCTCATGACACAGATTCATGTTTTTGACGGAGGTTTTAAAATTACTTTTGAACAGAAAATCTTTATTTTAAAAATGATAAATAGTACCAATCAGTGGCATGCAACTGAATGTGCAACTGAACCCTGTCCAGTAAGATGAGAGCTGACATCAGAGATTCTCCAAGGCTGTCAACGCTATAAATCGTTATTTCCATTTTAATGCAGTAGGGTACTTTCTTGTATAAACATGCTATATTAATACTGCAGAGGTCAAATGAACCAATCTACTCCAAGAACACCAGCAAAGACTGGAACAAATTCTGAATGTTATTCTCCAAATGAAAGCTTTCTTTGTTATGAACACGTACGGTAAAACAATGCTAGAATAAAGCAGCAGAGACATTCTTTGAAAACTTGGCAGCAGGCTCACATGTAAATCCTTTGGTCCATATTACAACAATGATATCTGGAAGCAACAGAAAAAACTTTTGAAGCTAGTTATAAGATACTGGTTATAACGGACTAATTAGCTAAGCAAGCCAGATGAGATGCTGCATGCCAACACATCAGGTTGACAACATAAAAATAATTCAGGAACTGTCTTCGCAGGCAGACACCTTTTGATTCACACCTAGGCCTCCCATAATATGAAAAACTAATTCATTGTAAAATGCCTTTAATTCCATACTGGACAGATGGCTTGGTTCTGTGATGTGACCTCTCTCTCTATATCTGCTTTTTTATTTTTTTAATTTTTACTGGATCAGATCCAGTGATCCAACGTTAGTGTGATGTTTAGCAGCTTAGACAAGATTTAAATAGCATTCATCCCACACAGTATTTCACTTTCATGCTGTTCATTTTTTCCACTCAATATTACTGTTTAAAAATTAGAAATATAGCAGTTTGTAACCAATTTTGGAGGAGATCTTTCAAAAGAAGAACATTTTGCTAAATGATTTCAGAGAGAGCCGGACAGGTGTCTGCAGTGCAATGGAGCTTCACCATTCCTGAATCGCTGAGTGGAAAACATTGTATGGGATGAAGAGCAGCTCTTGATTCTGTTCAGTCTGAGATTCGAGGTATTCTGGACAGCAAAAGGGGAAACTCTCCACACATTCCATCACTTACTAGCACTGGAAGTGCTTGTCAGTGCTTCCAAACTTTCAGGGAGGGCTTTTTGTTACCATTTAAATCAGAGCTAATAATTTCTTCTTATACATAAATGGCTTTCAGATAAATTGATTGGATATTATATTTTAAAACACAGTCACAGTTCTAGCGTGATTTATTAACCACAGAATTAAAGTTTTAATTTAATTCAGCCACCTGCTGAGCCAGTCTCCACAGGTAGCAAATTCAAGTTGATAGAAGGCTTTTGAGAAGCATCAATTAACAACAGCTATTAAAACAGTGACCTCTGTCAGCTTTTGTGAAATGATACTTCCTGCTTGGGTAGGCAACGAAGAGCATGAAAAGGAATTCAACAACTCTCACGCTGGGAAAGCAACATCATGCCTCAAGACATCTCATCAGGCAGCTGTCACAGCCCATGATATCTATAGACCAACCTGGAAATTTCTGCCTCTTTCCCCAGATTCCACAGTTGATATGTTGCTATTTCAGGCTCTTGTTCTTCCAACTAGAAATTCTAAAAATGCCCGTGTTTCCTGACACTAGCACTGCAGGCATTTGCCTGTTTTGACCACCTTCTCCCCCAGCTAAAAACTCCCTTGCCAGGCAACCCTGTCTTACAGCTGCACCACCGGCCTCTCACGGTCTAAACGAACTGCTTTAGTGGTTTCTTCTCTCTTCTCTCATCCAAAAACAAAGTTTCTGTTGGTGAGGACTCCAGCCAGGCTCCTCACTGTACTCACTATGCTTCCCTCTGTTCTTTCATCATCTGCACACAAATTCTCTCTTCTGCTTCTCCTTTAATGCCTCCAATTCCTGCTGTGAAATCTTTATTCATGACAGGTTGTAAAGGAAAAGCATTACGTTACTCAACTAAGAAACTTCTACTGTGAAGTGTACTGAAGGCAGAAGAGGCAACCCTGAAATTGGAGTTATGGTTCTTCAGCCTCAGGGTGGCAACATGTGGCTGGCACAAGGGGTGCTGGCATGGCAGCATCTTAGGAGAGTGACTCCACAAGGGGGGGATGCAGCAAGCCAGGAGGAGTGGATTGGAAAGAGCAAATCTGCTGAGATACCCTGGACAACAATTCACGCCCAACCCAGCCTCAGTATGGGGAAAATGAGACTGCATGCACCTGAAAGCACAAAAGCTGAGAGAAGGAAGCTCACCACTGATGTCAGCAAGTTAGCTTTTCAGCTAACTGGTATCATCTGTGCTAGAAATCTTATTCTAGTCACAAGGAATGACGTTTCAATACTGAGTGGATGCAAAAGATTAAATCACGCCATGTGCCCAAATAGTCCAAAAGTGTTTATATATAAATACAGGGCAGTCTGCTCCAAAAGCACATGCATGCAGAGCTGCATCCAACCCTTAAC